TGGAACCAGCTGCAAGTGTCTCTGAAGTCCTATCATCTCTTTGTTCTAGAGCTTCACAAAAATGAGGTAAATGTCACCAGGCGTCAGCTTAGAGGCAGGCGTGGAAGAGTTCTCCTTGGTTTGAAAGAAGCCACCGCCCCCTGGGTAATTAGGCCAAGCTCTACTGCATTAAGGGTGCTGGTGAGGAGGAAAGGCAGTGAGCTGGAAGCTGTTAACAGCTACCTAGCTGCCTAGAATCAGAGAGAGATTGAATTACACAAAGAGCCCAACTGTCCAAGGAGAATTCAAACCTGCTATTTTTAGATATTACCAAAGGCTCCTGCAGGCTGTTGGAAATTCAAATAGCTTGAGTTGGGTGCTTCTCAGAGGGAGTTGGGGGGTTTTTATTAGGAAGAAGGGAGCATCACATCTCCTCCATAACAGGCACTGTGCTAGGTGCTAGAAAGCACCTGGTAGTCTCAGAAATTGTGAAAGGTTGGATTGTCCCCATTTTACAGATGAGGCACCTAAAGCTTAGAAAGAGTAAGTGGCTTGGCCAAAAGGTCAACGCAGTGGCTAAGGGAGCTGATACAGAATCAATGTATGCCTGTTTCCAAAACCTACGTGTGCCCAACGTTTTTCTGCCCAAAGAACTGGATTTTGCTTAAGGTAGAAGAACAAACCATTTCTCCCCCATCATGATACAGAAAGAGAAAATTTTTCTATCACCCCCTTGGCCCTCCATAGAAGAACTTATAAAGTCCTATATGAGTTATAAAATTCAGGGCTCCCAGACTTATGTCAAAGGCCTGGCAAAGAAGGAAGTAGACATGGTCCATCCAAGGAAACGTGACTTTCCCTTGATCATCTGGGGCTGCTCTCAGAAGAATTGGCTGGACACAGTATCAGTGAGTAGAAAGCACCAACACTGCACACATTTCTCCTTCTACTACCTTTTGAAAACTAAAAATGGCCAGAACTAACAATAGTGTACAAAATCCACCGTGTAACTTGTGAATCATAAAATCAAGTGTCTGTTTTTTCAGTGATAATGTAAGCTTCATAATTCCATCACCAAGGTAGAAGGGGGTGGGGGGGAACAAGAGGGAAAAAGCGCAGAGCCCTGGGAGAGGTTGGTTTGCAGTCACCGGGGTTTGGGGCAGTGCTTAAGGACGTTCAGCACCACGGACAGCTACCCACGGGACCAACGCGTAGAGCTCTGCGTTGTTCTGATGAACCTTGCAATCCAAATCTTGCTAGTATCCTCAGGCAGATGAAATTTCTTACAACATCCTATCAAGCCATAATGTTCTCAGATCACCAGCATGTCTCTCCCCCCTGGGAGGAGAGCTACGCTCACGGACACATTTAGCAAACTGCTGTGAAAAATGTAATCTGACCAAGAAGGAAGTCCACTTCTTGGTTCTTTTGTAACAAGGGCAAAGAGTCCACATGCCTGAGAGTCTGTGTCAAGGCAGAATAGCAGGGTGCCGGCAGACATTTGCTCTGCTAACCTTTTAATGCTCTCGCCATCGTAGGAGCTCCATCGCTGCAGAAACACGCAGGCTGGCTCCCTACGTGAGCTGGCCACGCCCACCAGAGTGGTGCCTGGGAGATAATAAACCTCCTTTGGATCTCCCCAGTCATTAAGAGTTCTGTGCGACTGCTCAGGGAAACACAATTAGGACACAGTGTTTATACCAACTAATGACTCTACAAATGAAATCTGGTTCCCAGCATACCTGTTTCCTGGAGTGTTTGCTCATTTCTCTCGCCTGATATAATATATGCTCGGGTTGTATGCTGGGGACTTGGAAGGCATCTCTTTCTGATTTATGTGTGTATAAAGCAGATCCCAGGCATGGGAAGCTGAAGATGCCACTGAGTCAGAGCAAAGATATTGGAGATTCCACGTTGCTTAGAGTCAGAAAACAAGGCAGAAGGAAGAATCAGCGTTCAGGGAAGGAAGGAGTTGAGCTGCAGCCAAGAGATTCCTCCAAAAGTCAGAAGATGGGGTCGTGAGCCCAGTTCAAGAGGTCAGGATGTCTACAGCACTATAATGAGTGAGCACCAAAACTTGGAATGAGAGATCCGTGTTCCAGCCTATGCTTAGTCTCTAAGAGGCACCGTGACCTTGGAAAAACCATGCCTGCCAACTGTTTTCTGAAATAGCCTCCACCCTTTCGAACACTCTATTCCCTTTGCCTAGTTTTTCTCTGACCCCTTGGCAACTTGCCTTGAGTCTGAATATCCTTCCCTTTTCCACCAGGCAAAATCCTACGCATCTTTCAAGGTGCTCATCAAGTGCCCCTTCCTCTATGGAGCCTCCCCCAGAGCTGTTCAGTTTAGCCACTTCTGCTCTCTGGGTCTCAGTTTCTACAAATGTAAAACAGGGGATATCGATGAGAATGGTGCTTCCAACATGGTACTCAACACATGAGCTTTGCCGACTCCGAGCTTTTGCTCATGGGTTAGAATACATGGCTCTTCCTTTCACCTAGAATCCCCTAGAAATGCAATTCAGCTCAAGAGTTGCTCCCTTGGCTCCTCAAGACAGAGTCCCCGCAGTCCTCTGTATGTCCCCCCCACAGTTGAACCAATCCCACTGCATGGCGAGTTCCTTGAGGACAGGCGCTGGGCTTTACTCACCGCAGAGCCTCTGCCTACCTCCTCCACTGGGAGCCATTGAGTGTTCTGGTTTAATGAATGGTCCCACTGCTCTCTCTGTGTACTGTGTTGCCAGCTGAGAGCTCACTGAGAGCCTCAGCTTGACCCTCCTCAACCATCTGTCTCCTTATCCAAGCCACCTCCACTCCAAGACTTGCGGTTAATATGGCTGAGATTTTCTTTTAGGGTCTCCGGCTGAAGGTGCCCAAGCTGCACACTTGCACAGCGATGATTCAGAACAACTGTAGCGGACTTAGAGAATCCAGGACTCCACTCTCAGTAGCAATGAATGTGTTCCCCCTCTTGGACATAATACAAAGATGCCTTTCTCAGATGGTGCAAAACACCACCCAGGATAATTCTGCCACCACAGAGGTAGTCAAGGGAGGAGTACAGCAGTGTGTGTGTGTGTGTGTGTGTGTGTGTGTGTGTGTGTGTGTGAGAGAGAGAGAGAGAGAGAGAGAGAGAGAAAGAATGTCTAGGTTATGCAGCCAACCTGAACGTTAACCAAAAGGAGGTCTGGCTAATGTCTGGCTCATGACATAACACAATTTCATTATTTTTGTTCTCTATCCCAGCTTCATCCACCAGGATGTGTTAGTGGCAGCAGGTTCCCCCTCAAATACCCCTCCCTGACTTTGAGGACATCTCTTTGGATGGTCCAAGTATCACCATCAAAATAACATAAACATTGGCACGAAGGGGATCAGCTGTGAGGATGATAAATATGCCATCGAGTTAGAAACTCATTGCAGTAAGAGCCAAACCAGAAACCCACTGTGCAGACATTCTCCAGCCTGGATTTCCCACACCACCTCTGCTCTCTGAGGCCTTCAGGACCTGAACCAAAGTGAGTACGGGGGAGGAGCTGGCGCAGTCCATTTGCAGAAACGAGCCAGTTTGCAAATTGGTGGCAAGCTCAACCCCATTGCAAAGCTTGGAACTATGGGATTGAAAATACGGGATTTCAAATACTGAACTCACTATCAAGCGAACCAACAGCAAATTTTTATGAACAATGAAATCCACGTGGAGGAGGCCTTTCTCTGCAAACAGACAGGTGTCAACTTTCCGCCACGTTCACCCAGGTGGGCAAGGACTACGTTTGGGGCAAGATCTGCTGAGGTCTAAGACCTCCTTATTCAAAATGTGGTCCATGGACCAGCAGCCTGGCGTCACAGGGGAGCTCCCCAGAAATGCAGAATCCCACTGGACCCGCTGAGTCAGACTCTGCATTTTAATGAGATCTCCTGGGGGTTTTTTAGGCACATTCAAATTTGGGACATACTGGCCAAAAGGTTACACAAGCAGCTGTGGGTTCTGTTCCTGCCTCCGGACTGCGCAGGAGGGGTAACCTTCAGAAAGGTCAGCCTCCCATCTTTCACCAAACCCATTAGCTCTTTCCATAGGTGGTCTTAAGGTCGTCTGGAATTAGATGGTGTGACCCTGGGCTGGTTGGGGATAATGAATAATAGTAATCACCTGAAAAGGCTGTACAGAGAATAAATGAATAAAATGAAGAGAATAAAATGAAGTCAGGTCTGTAACTGGCTTAGCACAGTGCCTGGCACATAGCAGATTCTTGATAAACAATTATGAGTTGTTATTAAACACTTCTCGCTACTTCCCAGGAGGGGGCGATGATGGGACAATGAGAGGACAAAGAGGGGACAATGTCCACAGAAGATGAGCCAACTCCTGTCCTCTTATTCATGCCCTCGTTCTCTCGGTTTGGAAACGGGAGGGTTTTTTCCCAGCAAGACTCGAACAGAAGCACAAGTAAGCCAGGACGAATTCTCTCCACGAAAGCGTCAAAGGCTCTGGAGTTGGTTTACAAGCTACGGGACATTAAAACTCAGTTTCCTTATCTGTTAAAATGGGAATAAGTAAATAACAGTGTCCATTTCAAGGGTCATTGTGGAGATTAGTGTGCTATTCTATATGAGGCATTGGGAAGGGCACAGAGTGTTTGCTGTTGTCATTGTCACTGTTGTCATTGTGGCCACCATCATCTTCACGGTTAGAGACAAGCTCTCTGAGAAAGTCAGGAAGGACAGGCCAAGGTCAGGCTCCAGTGCAGTTTTGGAGGGAAGAAGGCTGGCGAGGATGAGGGGCCGCTGGTAGGTGAGGCAGCTCAGGAAGGGAGGGCACGTGGGGACGTTTCAAGCAGCCGGAACAAAGGGCTCTGGGAGCAGTGGGGTGGGAGGCAAGGCTGGGGCAGGATGGGGGTGGCCTTGGGGTGATGGGGAGCCACAGACGGTGCAGGGCAGACATGCGGGGACTCCCCGGGCTGGGTGGGCGAGGGCCGCGGCCCAGGGAGAAGCAGCGGAGGGAGGTGGGGCAGACTCACGTACACCTGCGGGCCGACTCCTGGGCCAGCTGCAGCCGGTAGACGGAGAGGCGGTTGGCGCCGCCGCACACGCTGCCCCGCTCGCCCTTGCACTCCATGTCGCACTCGGCCTCGCTCACGTTTGTCGCCTGGATCTTGTGGCCACAGTAGCACTCAGCGCCAAACTCCAGCCCGGCGTACAGGTAACCCCTGGGGGAGGCTGCCGTCAAGCAGGGCAGCTGCCACCATGGAGACCCCGAGGACAGGGAGACTCAACGTGGAGACCTGGGGGACGGGTGGCTCTGGGGACTGGGAGATCGCAGGGGGATGGGGACACTGCTGATGGGAGGGGAGGCAATGGGGAGAACCCAGGGGACCCACCCCACACGAGACCTGGCAGACAGGGGCCTTCAGGAGGCAGGAAGACCCCAAGGGAATGAGGAGACCTGGTGGCAGATCACAGGAAGACCCTGGAAGGGGGACGGGGGAGCCCCGGGAGAGGACATGGAGACTCAAGGAGATCTGGGGGACAGGCATGCTGCCGGGGCAGGGGGATCTGGGCTGGGATGACAAGACCCCGAGAGCAGTAGAGGAGGCTGAGGAGTCAGGAAGCCTTGGGAGGGCAGCAAAGCCGGAAGGAACACAGGGAGGTTCCTAGGGCACAGGGAGACCCAAACAGGGGACAGCAACGCCCCCGGGACCACCCACCTGCCTTCATCTCCGCCTGCTGTCTTATGCCCTTACACACCTGCCCACATAGGCACGCCACGTCCATATTCACCCTCACCTGTCCACACCTGCACACGGTATGCTTGTCACACACGCACCCCCAGACCCTCTGTGCTTCTCCCGCTCTGCCCCACTGTCTCCCTCCTCCCTGTCTGGAGACATGAGGCAGCCATCTCTTCAGAGTCCAGCCCCTTTATTCTGGAAACATCGCCCAGGAACAAGGACTCTGTGTGTCTCGAGAGGAGGCACGGGGAATGCGGGAAGGAGGCGGGGGCTCTGGGAGAGGGCAGAAGATGAGCTCATATACCCAGCCAAGGAAAAATTCCTTCCTCTGAAACAAAGAATCTAGGCACTGCAAGGTTTTTAACTTTTCTTTTCTTCTTCATAGTGATGGACTCCTTTTCTAAAAAGGACTCTTGGTGGATACCCCACTCTGTAAACAAATGAAAAGGGCTTTGCTTGCTCTGGCTGGCTCTGGGGGTAGGAAAGCCCCTACTCCCTTCCCTCTGTCCCCCCATCCCTTCGCCCACAGCGTCCTCTGAGGCACCCTGCAGACCACGAAGGCTCCTTGGGAAGCAGCGGGTGAGACACGGGTCACACGAGGTGCAATCAATGGGAACTGTCAGCTCACTTTGGGTCATGTGACACTGGCCGGAGAGACAGACCCACTCACACTCAGGCCTCCACACGCCCTGGGGGCTTGGGGTGGCGCATGGCATTGCCCGATCCACCTGCTCACCCGGGTGGGTGTGGCAAGAACAGCTTAAACAAACTGAGAATCTTGGTGTCTGGCCCCCCGCGAGCAAAATCCTAGGGCTGGGCTCGCCTCCTCCCACCTACCTGTCTCATGCTGTCTGTCTCTCTCAAGCCCTGCTTCTACGATGTCCCCATAATGGGACCCACCGATAGAAGCCACTTTCCCCATGAAAAGGGCCCAGGAGGTGTTGTCAATGCCAAAGCAGGAGGTGGCCTGGTCCTCAGAGGCAGAAGGGACAAAGTCTGAGGTGGAGGAGAACTGAGCTTCAGGGAGACACACCCAGAAGAGAGTCCAACGGCCGCTGCACCAGGGAAAGAACAGATATGCCAGGAAATCCCCGGGGTCGGGAGGCGTGGTGGTTTTTAAAATGCGTTCACAGATTCTTGGATAGTCCTTCCTTTAAGAGGTGGAGCTTAATTCACCTCTTCTTGAGCGTGGACTGACTTAGTGACTCCATTCTAATGAACAGAAGATGGGGAAAGAGACAGCATGTGACTTCCAAGCCTGCATCGTGCAATGCACTGTGGCTTCCTCCTTGCTGTTGCTGGTAGAGGGCTCACTCTGCAAGAAACCAGCCACCATGTTGTGAGGACACTCAAGTAGCCCCGTGGAGAGGCCGGTGTGCTGAGGACCCGAGGCCTCCAAGCAACAGCCACGTGAGCGGCCCATCTTGGAACAGGATTTTCCAGCCCTAGTCATGCCTTCAGCTGACTGTAGTCCCTGCTGATAGGGTGACTGCAGCTTCATGAGAGACATTTAGGCAGAATCACCTGACTCATCCCACTTCCAAATTCCTAATTCCTGACACTCTGAAATCATGTGAGATAATAAATGTTTGTTGTTTTAAGATGCTAAATTTTGGGACAATTTATTACACAGCAATGGAAAATTAATATAGGAAGGGAAATGGAGACACCTCGATATCCTCAAGGTCACCCATCACGGACTATTGACTCTGGTCTCCCTATTGTCACCTTTGCCAGAAGCATCTTTCAAAAATTAGAACAGATCATGCCTCTGGGTGCGAAAACCACAGCAGTAGTGTTCCAACTGAACCAGCAGCATCAGTATCACCTGGCAACTTGTTAAACTTGCAAATTCTTTGGCCCCACCCCAAACCTGCTGAACCAGAAAATGGGGGTGGGGCGCAGCAATCTGCGTTTCAAAAGATTCCACGTGATTCTGACGAATACTTTCGAGGACCCCTGCCTTAGATGATCTAGTACCTCCCTTGGCAGACAACTCCCCACCTCTTCATCCTCATCTTCTACTGGTATGATCTGAATGTTTGTGTCAAAAGTCACATGTTGAGACCCAGTCCTCAGGTGATCGTATTGAGAGGTGAAGCCTTTGGGAGGTGGTAAGGTCAGAGCCCTCGTGAATGGATCGATGCCCTTAAACAGGAGGATCGAGGGAGCCCTCTTGCTCTTCCACCTTGGGAGGACACAGCAACAAGGTGCCAATCTTGGAAGCAGAGATGCCAGATCTGCTAGCACCTTGATCTTGGACTTCCCAGCACCCAGAACTGTGAGAAAAACATTTCTGTTGTGTATGAATTGCTCAGTCTAAGGCACTTTCTAATAGCACCCTGAATGGACTAGGACACCCACCATCCTTCCCTTTGCCAATTCTGCTGCAGTCATGGGCTCTCTGATCCTTAAAAGTGCCCAGCTCATTCCTGCCTCAAGGCCTTCGTCCTTTCCCTTCCTGTGCCTGCAAGACTCTTCCTCTGCTGTCCACATGGCTGGTTCCTTCCTACCTTCCAGGTCTGAGCTCAAAGTCATCTTCCTGACGAGGCTTCCATGACTGCCCTACCTCATGTTACCCTGCACACCAGGTACTACCCCACCACCCCATTTTATTTTCTTATAGCTCCTATCACTTCTGAAGTCATCTTATTTATTCCTTTGTTTCTCTTGTACGCTGCCTGTGTCCTTCTCTGCCTGTGTCCATGAGGGCAGTGACCCTGCAGGTCTTGTTCACTTCCACGTCCTGGGACAATGCCTGGTATATGATGCATGTTTCATACATATCCGTTGAATGAATGTAGACCACTCCCCTGACTAACACTCTCTAGTGGCTCCCATTGCCCTCATGGTCAAATCCAGATGCTTCAGCTGCATTCAAGACCCCGTGCCACTGGGTTTCAGCCACCTCCGCAGCTTCCCTGGCACTCCCTTTGTACCCTCTGTGCACCCCCACATTGCCTTCCTGAGGACCTTGGGTATTTCAGGATGTTTCAGGAGTCCTGGCCTTTGAGTATGCTGTTACTTCTGCCTTACTGTGACTACCTAGAAAACTCCTACTTATCCTTCAAAATCCGGAACATGGTCTTGCCTTTGTAACTCTTTCTGAGCTCTCCATGTGGAGCCCTTTATTCCTTCCACCTTCATGACTCCCCTGCACCTTGCCCTCCTGGCCCAGCACGTATAATGCTTGATGTCTCCATACCCTGGTTTCCTCATCTGCAGAATGTGGTTCGTAACATTCCTGCCTCGTAGGGGGGTCTTGTGACATGAAAGAATATTTGCAAAATGATTATAACGGAGCCTGGCACAGAGCAAGCACTTACTAAGCATGTGCTATTGCTGTTCTATTGCCCAAACCTGTTCATGCCTCTGTCTCCCCAGAGATGGGGAGCCGCCCCGAGGGCAGGGTGGTGGCTGACTCATCTCTGCGTCTCCAGCATCTGGAATCGGGTCCAGCACGTGTGGGCAGCCGACAAATACTTGCTGAACTGAATTGAATGACATGAGTTGCTCCGACTCATCTGAGAAGTATTTCCTGACACCCCAGGCATATGGAGGCCTCTTCTGCATTTCCAGCTGTCTGCCATTATTCCGTCTCCACTCTTATCTCACGGTATTGCCCTTCTGTTTGCTTGTTCGTCCAGGCTGTGAGCTCCTTGAGGGGAAGGCTTTGTGGACTCCACCTCTGATTCCCCACAGTTTGAAAAATAAATTAATGACTCCATGTCATCAAGGACTTGGAGTCCTTCCCAAGTTGGAGAGGATCTAGGGTCAAGACTTTAATGGCGGGCTCCTCGGGCAGCTGATCATAAAGGGAGCATGCTTCCTAATCAGGGACAGTAGGCAGAGGCCCTCCGTGGACACCCACTTGCTCATTTCCACAGCAGGCATCCAACTTGAGGTTGGTAGCGCTCGTGACCGAGAGAGCCAGCTGGCTGGAGTCTGGAGGCGAGTGAATTAGAAGCCTCTTCACCAACCACTACAAGGTCACGGGACCCAGGAGATAAGGGGAGGAGAAGGTCAGCTCAGCCCCCTGGTACCTCCCAGGGTCCTGTCCCTGCTCACCAGTCCTCTTGGGACTCATTCACTCTTGCAAAGTTAACTCTTCCCCTCTGCACATGTTCTAATCAAAACCATCATCTTCTTAGACTGGAAAACACTGTCTGAACAGGTGAGTGTTTCTGTATTCTATACTGAGAAACCACCAGATGCTCCCACCTCACCCTTCACACGGACATCTTATAAGCCTCACACTTAACAGTCTCACCCGTGTGCACACGCACACCCAATTCTGCATTTCCAAGTTGTGTGCAATTCCTCACAATCTTGCACACTCTCAACACAGTGTTGCATGTTCAATGATGCAATCAGACACCTGCACACAGAAGCTCAATTCTAGACCCTTGCACACATATTCACAAAGACTCTTGCTCACACACGGCCACTATTATTTAAAGATTATCCCGTGTTAGCATTAAGCTCACAAGCATAACCAGCTGACCCCGCACACTATACATGACAAACTCCCTCCCAGGCACAATCTCACACAATTGCACAATCACAAACTCCCACACACCAACTCCCGAACAATCCTGCTCAGCTGCATGCATGGTGTGTGTGTGTTCACACATGCACACACACACACACACACACACACACACACACCCACACACACCATGCATCATCCTTTCCCTGTGGTCACGTGCTCACCCTCCAACACACCCTCCCAGGACAAGGGCAAGAACACCACTGGCAGGAACCTGAGAGGGAAGGGACCCAGATGAACGAGCCTGGGACGCTGGGGCCCTACCTACCGTTCAGCACAGTTGTCCTGGCAACGGAAGATGGTCATCTTTTTGTAGTCGAAAAAGGACACGCCTCGAAGGGCTCGGCTCTGGGTGTCATCCAGGTAGCAGCCGATGTACTTGGCTTTGGGGAAAGGAAAAAGTCAGACGTGGCTGGGGATGAAGGTAAAAGGATTACGGGAGGAAGCTCAATGTGGCTTTGGCTATGTGGCCGCGTTGACCTTTTGGTGTCAATTCCTTCCTCTGGGCAGAAACAGAGACTGAACATCACGTGTCTTGGCAGAACCTGGTCCGAACAGGGCAACGGTAAGACCATGGATCTTAGAGGCCAACAGAGGGGAGGAAGGGACCCTTCTGCAGACAGTGCCATAGCCAAGCTGCTGGGGTCGCCTGGTGACGACTGGGCACCCAGGAACCCAAACCAAGGCCGTTCCCTAGGCACCAAACAGGACTTCCCATTTCCTAGAGGATGAGATCCATATTAAGACAGCTCTAAAGAAAAGGCTTAACATTTGACAACATGCTACTGTTTCCACAAACTGCCTTAAGATATTTATTTTTCCCTGGAAAGCACACTGGACTTGGGTATCTCCAGGTCTAGACCCTCATTTCACTACAGTTACTTCCTAGCCTAGTAAGTTTAGGCCAATGAACCTCTTGGAGACCCAATTTTATTTGTAGTGAGGATGAAAACCCCAGTCCGGCGAGGTTAAGGTGGAATGATTAGTGTAAAGGTTTCTTCCATAGTGTCTTGCATATACTAGGCACCAAATGAAGGTGAGTAGAATAAGACAGTGGCCATTCACCACGCTGTGTAAAGTACTTCACAGTTTGCTTCTGTTATGGGCCAAGGTGAATGCTTCCATCCAAAGGAAAATTTTAAATCATGTAAAACAACCATCTAATTACAAACCACACACTTAGTATTCTTAAAGTAGTAGACATTTTCCTGTACTTCATGGTAAATAGTAACTCTCATACACAAACATAGCACTTTACAGTTTAGAAAGTATTTTCCTATATGTTGTTAACATTTTTATTACTACTAATATTTGGACATGAACTTTAGTAAGTGCTTAACGCATACTGTCTCATTGAATCCTTGCAATGAGCCTATAAGTGTGTTATTCCCATTTATATGGAAGAGAAAAAGGCCCAGAGAGGTTAAGTCACTGGTTCGAGGTAACACAGCTTGTACATTTGGAGTCAGAATTGGACCTGAGCAATCCGGTTTCAAAGCCCATGTTCTGAACTGCTTGAGTCTTGAATCAACTGGTCACAGAACAAAGATTTAAATCCAGTTCTGTGGGACCCCAAATCAGTAACTGGAGGTTGGACTGAGGATCCAGCCTGCCCTTGGAATTGAATGGCCCTTGTAGGGAATGAATGAAGAAAATACTAAATGCTACTTAACCGCTTCCCTGGCTTCCCTCGCTTAAACTGTGGGCTTCTTCCCCGTCCCCCTTACTTGCGGAACGCAGGATCTAAGAGAAGACGTGGGCTCATTATCAAGCAATCGCGCCCCTCAACGCAGCTCTGATAAGTGCAGGATTTGTCAGCCCCGCCGGAGACGCGCCTTGACCTGATCACCTTGAATGTCTTTCATAAGACAGAGGTGATTTGCTCGACTAGGAACAGTCCATCTTTGTGAAAGAAACATCGCCTCCCAGGAGCAGGTACCTCAGACAGTGACAGCTCTGGAGAAGCCCATGTCTTGTCTCTGCGCTTGTTCAACAACGTGTGCCCCTCCTGTCACAGATGGGGTCGCAGCCCTTGGTTTGGGGCGTGGATGCTGTTCCTACCAGAGCTGGGAGAGAGGCTTCGTGGCCACGTGGGGGTGGGGGCTTCATGCTAAACTTAGCTCAGTAGCTCACTGGAGGACTGGGTGTCCCAGGATGACGCATTGTAGGACGGGGGCGGGGGGAGGAGAGAAAAAGAGGGAGTTGGAGAGAGGGACAGTAGGGAGAAAAGAATGGAGGAGGAAGGTAGGGAGGGAAAGGGAACAGAAGGAGAGTGGAAGAAAAGGTTGGTTTATTTGGGTAGTATTAAGTCTCTGTCATCAGAGCAATAGATTGTGTATATGTACACGTGTGTGTGAGAGAGAGAGACAGAGACAGAGGGACAGAGAGAGGAGAAAACATTACCATGTATTGAGTGCCTACTATGCGCTGTCTACTCTACTATTGGCCATGTCTC